TCTCAAAAAAAAAAAAAAAAATACATGAACAAAAAAGTTTTGGCCATTTGCAATCCATATAAATCACTTGCTGCAATATTTTAATCACTAATAACAGCAGGACATTTTAAAATGTTTAATGTGAAAAACACTTTAGTGCCTTAATGTATTAAAACAGTGATATTAAATGATCAAATTCAGTAAACACCGTATTGATGATGCATACTTTATGCAGGCAAGCAGATGAGCCCGGAATGAATGCAATGCGCTATGGTTTTCTAAGGGAAAACACTTAAAGGGATAGTTCACCCAAAAATGAAAATTACCCCATGATTTACTCACCCTCAAACCATCCCAGGTGTATATGATTTGATTCTTTCAAACGAATCCAATCGGAGTTATATTAAAAAATGTCCTGGCTCTTCCAAGCTTTATAATGACTGTGAATGGGGGTCGAGATTTTGAAGCCCAAAAAAAGAGCATCTATCCATCATAAAAAGTGCTCCACATGGCTCCGAGGGGTTAATAAAGGCCTTGTGAAGTGAAGCGATGCGTTTGAGTAAGAAAAAATCCATATATTGAAAACTTTATAAACCACAATATCTAGCTTCCGCCAACTGTTGTACATGCATTCATGAGAGAGTGGCGTTTCAGAGGATGACGTAGGATGTAGGCGTAGCGTAAATTCCGGTCAGAATTTATGAATGAAAAAGAACATTGCCATAAATTTATCTGGGCCCTTGAACCACAATAACAATAACAACAAAAAAATTGTACTAAAAAAAAAAATGTATACTAATCTACTTCAATTTATTGAAATGCTTTAATTTGTGTTATTTTAATTCAGTTTAGAGGCCACATCAGTCTTCTATTGGTCATACATCATACATCTTCACTGTGGAGAGACAAATTACTTGTCACTGGAAAATCGTGTTGCACCTTGTCTGGAGGGTACAAGTAATTTTCACTACATTGTCTCTACATCATATATGTAATATATGTAATTTAGATGGAGACACTCATCAAGGACATCATGTAATTGTGTCCCTGGTCTCCACCCAGACAATTTAAGCTCAATTGTCCTTTATTTTAGGAGGACAGGCTGGTTTAGTAACAAAGGCCCTTTGATTCTGTGGAGACTATGATGGAGACTCCTTGTGCATATAGGGAATAATTTAAATAAACATAATCGGCTTAACTGGTGCTATTTATAATGGTATTACCGAAAATGTCTTCATATATTATATTATTGTATGAAAACCCAATCTGGCCTTTTTAATTGGAAAATCCCCAGTGGTTTTTCCAGGACCTAGTATTATTAGCCCAGGAAAAAATTGCACAACTCCGTAACCTTAATAATCTAATAATTTTTTAATCTGCTTTTCCATTAAAATGCCAGCAAGCATAACCAATTTTTAAACAACAAAGCATAGTCATGATGACCTAACCAGATTATTAGTAAAAGTTGAAGGGATGGTTCACCCTAACAATGAAAATTTGTTTATAATTTATTCAGCATCATAAAATTCCAACCCCATATGACTTATTTTCTTCTGTCGAACACGAAATTAGATATCTCGAGAAAGTGAGAGTGTTTTTGTACATACAATGGAAATCAATGGGCACCAAAATTGCTTGGATACCAGAATTCTTCAAAAATATCTTCTTTTGTGTTCCCCAGAAGAAAGTAAGTCATACAGGTTCGGAATGACATGAGGTGAGTAAATGATGATAGAATGTTCATTTCTGGGTGGACCCTTTAATATTTTCATTGTCATTTAATGTTGTTTCAACCTCATATTATATTTTATATCAAATATCAGTGAATAAGTTTGGTCTGCTCCTCAAAGCAACCTATCATACAGTATGATGTCAGAAGACATTCACATTTAGCAGACACTTTTTTTATTGTATTAATGCATTCAAGGTACAGCATGCATTTTATCAGTTCATGTATCCCCTGGGAATCGAACCCATGACCTTGGCATTGCTAGCGCCATGTCTACGGTTTTGTCTACAGGAAAGCACAAGAGACAGAATAATGTGTGAACGGATTACTTTTTCAGCATAAATCGCCATCACTTTGTGTTTTTTGACATAAGAAAATAATACAGAATGACATGCAGCTTACTAAATGATGCCAAAATCTTCATTTTTGAGAGAATTATTTCTTTAAATACAAGAAAAGACAAAACACTACCGAAAGTCCAGGGGGAACGTGAGGACATACTCAAACCAGTAATCTAAATCGAACTACTTCATCTACTGTGCCTCTCTAAAAGAATGAGACCCCATCCACCTAACTCAACAATCAGACCTTTGTTTTAGCCATGAGTGCTTGTTGTGTATTTTGAGACCATGTGGGTTCTTCTCTAAGCTCCAGTAAAGCCTGTGCCCAAAGTGAGAGGCGAGGTGGGTTGGGCTGAGTGTGAGAGAGCGCCAGGCTTCCTCGTCCGGCCCACAGTCAGACATGAACCACTCGGATACACGTCGCCAGAGGAAGCCAGGATTGGAATGACCTTGCCAAGCTGCATCTGTGCACTGCCAGGGCTTCCTCTCCTATAAATGTTACCACTTTCCCTGGAGTATAATGAGGTGGATTAGATTGAGTTTCATTGCGAAGTTGCTTGTCTGGAAAGCTGTTGTGTTGGCTGTGATGGAAGGGAACCAAGTGGGGGAACTAATTGTTCGAGGGTGTGAGAGAGAAAGTAATATACCTACAGGTCCCTCTGCACCTATGTTCCCTCAAAACCCAATTAACAACTTGAAAGTGTGAATATGAGAGTCAAAAGGCACCAGTAGTATTTCGAAACAAACACAAGATGGGCTTAAAGAAATAGTCCTGTCATGACAACTCTTGGAGGGATTGGCATGGTAATGTACATGACAATGTTAATGTATTTGGTCTTGGCGGAATAGATCTGCTACGCTGCTGCGGCAGAGCAAGTACCGAGACTTGCTACTGCCAATACATCCACAACATGCTGCTGTGAGCATGTAAGAAATATTGCTGCTGCAAATATAACATACATGAAATAACCCCCATATAGTATAATACATGAATCACCTCGTAGCAGATCTATACAGGTGGAGCTGGGGAAGGTGGAGGGTTTCTGACGCAAGCTGCAACTGCTACGGCAAGCATTAGTCATATATTTGAATGTTGAGCAGCGAGCTCATTGGCTACCGATACAGGAGAGAACCAATCAGCTGTGCCATGTGATAATGATGTCATTAGGTCAGATTGAGTTAGGCCTATCGGACTGAGCCATCTAGAGTTTCATGCCAGAACTCTGTATTTGTCCCAAAAATGTGTCATTATTTGCTCACCCTTTCCACAACCATGACTTCATTCTTTTGTGGAGCAAAAGTATTTCAAATAATCTTGATGCAGCTCTCTCACTATTAAGTTCCAAATAGAACAAAAATATACCGTTAAAGTATCAGAAAGCTTTCAAGGTATCAAAAATCCACCTTAAAAGTATAATGACCCGAGTCAGTAAACTGGAATAAGATTCGAGAATTAACCAGATTTGTGACCAGTCTTTATTGAACAGGTTTATTGAAAAGCACAGCCTCAAAAGACTGATACATTTGGTGATCTGTTTTCTAGTTCAACTCACTGACTCAAATATCATGAAGGTGAGTAAATTATGACTCTGAAAGACATGCTACAATCTGAACATGAAAAATCATTAATAATCATGACGTCAATAATTAGCAATATTTCCATAAGTGCACTAAAACAGAGAACATCACTACACAACTGCATCTATAGTGCTGTAAAATAAGCTCAACTGAGCTCCAAGACATTTTACTTAAGAACTGAATGATGACAGGTCAGATACTGTTAGATGGACAACATTATCTGACAGCAGAGGACATATGGACACTGTCTCTGACGTCCGCACAGAATGCAGTGCAAAGCAGCCGTCAGGTAGGAACAGATTTATTGGGGTGAAGTCTGAAAAAAAAAAGAAAAAAAAAAAGAGAAGATAAATGCACTAAGACCAAAATAAAGGCACCACTTTTAAATGATATTATGCATATTATGCATCTTTTTTTTTCAGGTTTAGGTGAATGTTTCTATATCAGGCTATCACAATAACTTTCATTTCATCGAGTGACAGCTCATTTATTTCACAGTTTCAATTAACTGTATTGTGCATTCAAGCATGTGAACCAACAGATAGCCAGTCTTCATATCGTCTGAGAAAGCCATATTAATCACAGATTATTAACACATTTTCCCATAACCAAAACCTAATGGTTTCTGTGTCCGTTTAGGAGAACTGAACACCCACTAATGCTCAAAAAAACCCTTGTTCAGCCACCAGTGGATGAGTAACGCTGGAAGCAGCATCTGGATGTCAGATTCGGTATGATGCAACAGCCGCCACATTACAAAATCTTCTCCCACAAAACCTCTTTAGTCACCTAAATGTGTTACCTTGGTTACCAGAATCGGCCTGGGCACTCCCAACCAATCACAGAGCTGATTCCTGTGGGTCCGCACTGTGGCGATGTCACTTTCCCTAATACAGGAAACAAGAAACGACCATTAAAACGGTAGCTGTGCTGAAGTCCTCATCATAATCCCCCAATAAGCCCCATGTCAACACTCACCAATTAGTGTCACTAAGCGAAGCCATGACATCAGCCAGCACTTGATCATCGTCAATGACATCATCGTAGGTCAAGAGCATCTCGTATACCTGGCTGGCAGTCATCTTCCTGATCTTCAGACCCAAGAGAGATAATGGAGTCAGAATTAAACCTGGGATACAACACGAGTGCCTAGACTAAGTCTGGACTGAAGTGGCCTGCTAATGGTCTCACCACAGGGAAGGGGTGACAGAGCAACATCAACAGCTGCACTAAGACCTTCTCCCTCACATCACCCTTGAACTGCACCATTCCACAGAACCTACAGTCAAAGAGCCAATCAGAGAGAGAGCTCAGACATAATGACCAATCACAAGAGAGATCAAACTAAAACCAGAAGACACACTTGAAATCACATTTTTAGAGTGATTAAATCAAAACTTCAGTTGACAACAGTTCTTGAAAAAGTCTGAAACATTTTCAAAAAATGTCTGAAAACAAAGATTAGGGTAAAACGGGGTTAAAGAAAACCTTAAGGAAAATGTGTTTTTGATAGCAGAAAAAGAGTTTTTATTAAACATTGATGAAGAAATGTGAAAATAAATCATGATTTGTTTAGTTAAATATTTTTTATAAATGTATGAGGTGGTGAGGAACTGATAAAAATAATTTATCTAAAGTTTCACATAATATTTAAGTTCAATACAATCATTTAATCGATGTTTGTACTATTGTCTGCTTATTTTTAAAAAACAGAAAAAAAAAGCTAAAAAGGAAAAATTCTGAAAGCTTTTTACACTGCTTGAAGGATCTCCCATAATAATTTAAGGCAAGACAACCCAGGTGAATAGGGTAAAAAATAATTAATAGAAATAACTAATTGGAGTGGAGTAACTAGTAGAAATAACTGTACTTGAAGCTGATTGATTACATTATTAAAAACTTTTTTTTGTATTACAAATTTACAGATTTGTTACAGTTAAATATGCAAATGAGGCATTATCTAAGGAAATCTGCACTAATTTGAAAACATTTCCAGAAAATAAATCTGAGCACCAGATAAAGCCAGGTTCAAAATTCCTTTGTTTTTTAAGTTTTTAGATTTTGGATATTTTTTTATTACTGCATGAATCAGAAAAACAGGACAATGTTTTTAGGAATAAAATATATGAAATCAGGCAAATTATATGAACAAATTCCTCTGTAAAAACCTTCAGAATACAGATAGGAATACAACTTTAAGGTCTGTTGTATGTAAGCGCTACCGAAGTGGAGATTTCTGCCTCAGTGCAGGAGAAATAACTCATTCTGAGAAAAAAGCTTTAAAGCTATGCCTTATAATTGAAATCTACAGATGCAAATAGATAAAATGCACTTAAAAAGTATTTTGGATGTTTACTTTCCACTAATCTGAAACATGTTAATGAAGGGCCAAATATCCCAAAATAGCAAAACTGACCAGTAAATGAAAACCAAAGTTTTTGCCTGTAGTGGCTTGCCTTAATATGGCTTTACAGAAGTAACAATACATATCATATTTTATTACATGCTAAGATTGTCAGATTTTTACATCTGATGGGCTCATTATAAAAATGGTGATTATTTATAAGGTGGACACCCAACTTGTTATGGACCCATACATCCACAGAGTGCAGGAAATGCAACTTACACAGCTATACACGACAACAACTTCTGGACATCTTTGGATTTCCTGATTTCCTCTTTACAGATCGCCAGCAGCTCTACGCAGAACGGATGACTGAAAACAGAGAGATGACATCAAACCAACACACACATCCACCCTCAGTCTCCCCGTTTCAACACACGACTTGGCCGGGGCTCATCTTAAGTTCTCCCAAAGGTTCCCTGTGTGAATCCTTTCTGTGTATTTCTGTCATGATATCATCTCTCCTGCCGAGCTCTGGATGGTTTGTGTATCTGAGCCAAGGAAGGCAGTAATGTACACTCGGCTTTCCCACGCTCACCTCTCCTCGCTGGCGAAGCGGTCAAAACAGCCATTAGCAAGGATTTGGTCCACCATCTTCAGCAAAGGTACAGAAACTCTGTAGGCGAATCAAAACATAAAGTATAAATACAAAATATAATGTTATGATTTGGTTTAAGTTCCAAAAAAAGTCAAAAATAGACATTACCACATTGTTATTTAATATATAAAGCATTTTTATGGATTTCCAAGCATATTTTCCGTTACCAAGATGTAAAACTACCCATACTGTGACAGAAGATCTTGGTCATACCTTGGCCCACCTCTTCCGTCCTGTATTTGTATGACACATTCAGCTGTTTTGTGGCTATGTTGTGTTTTGCATTGCAGTTGTACCTGTCATTGCGCAGGTTATCCCTGAAGATGCGTAACAACGTGTCTCCAAACTGCTGAAGCACTGTGGCATCCTGCTGAATGCCCTTCAGGTACTCGAATAAAGACTGAGAGGAATAACGCACCTGCAGACACACACAAGCAGATTTTCACTAGTGACGGACTGCCATATTAATGGTTAAAATTACATTTATTAATTATTATTATTTGTATGGTAACACTTTAGTTTAGGGACCAATTCTCACAAAAAACTAGTTGCTCTGTAGCATGAATATTACTAGCATATTGTCTGTTTATTAGTACTTATAAAGCACATATTAATGCCTTATTCTGCATGACCATATTTTAGATCCCTTAATCCACCCCATACCTAAACGTAACTACCTTACTATTTATAGGCAGCAAATTAGGAGTTTGATGCAAAAGTCACAGTTAATAGTTAGTGAATTGATCCCCAAACTAAACTGTGACCATTTTATTTCTTAATAGACTTTATTAACAAAATAAATGTTAATTAATTATAATTACAAATGATTTTATATTAAATTACTCTTAAAGGCACAATATGTAAGATTTGTTTATTAAAATATCCAAATACCACTAGAACAGTGTTATATATTTTGCTGACTTGTGTACTTACATTATCCCAAATGTTTCTACTCCTATTAGATCAGTTTCTTTCAACTGAAAAGTCGGTTATCACCTACCCACCCTCCTTTCATGGAATAAAATGTACAAAAGGCTATTTTCCATACAAATAAAGCACATTATGAGCATTGTCTGTCAAGTAAAGTTGATGTTTTGCTTGCTTTTGGTTTAAAAATAACGATTTTAAGATTTAAACCCATGTCCCACTAAACTAAAATACTTAACTACTTGGTGTTGCATTTACATATAGAACTTTTAAATTGTAAAAAGTGTTTTTAAGCACCAAATGAGTCAAGACTGCCAACAGTGCTTCTTCAAAAGCATCTAGTTTTATGCGACTGTGTATGAAAATTATAAATGTTCAAGTATGTGATACATTGTACCTCACAACTGTGTTGTGGCATCTTGCATAAAAAGGTTTTTTTCTTCAAGATAGTGTGAAATAATTAAATATTTTTAGCCTTTCAGGCTGTTAAACCTATCTGAAGGTCTTACTGAATGTATTTGTTTGCACAACTAATCATATAAATTCACATTTTTGTAGTATATATGGTGCTGCAGATGTTTCAGACATGGAATTTATATGTATATATTAAGTTTTACCTTGCATATGCATTGATCAATATAATTTTGAATTATAAAATGATAAAATAATCATTATTAAATATGTATTTTTGATAGCTCACATTCAATGTAAACTTCTCCCATGCAGCAGTGTGTTAATGTGTGTGAGGGGTCAGATGGTGCACGATTATGTGTGGTATCAGTCCAAAATCTGCTGAGCGGTCCAGAGGGAGCAGAGCTTCAGAGAGAAGCTCCATCATTCAGCACTGAGTCTGTGAGAACCGCTCATTTATCCAGCAGTTTTGGCTCAGAGAGATCACACAGTTCCAGGCTGAAGGTGAGAGCGTAACCTCTACTGTGGCTCTAATCAAAATCTGCCGGTTCTAGGTGGTTGGGGGGCTCATTTATAGGTCCAGTTGGCAGATGAGTTGACATTTACTGCGCTCAAAGCTCCTGTTAAAGGCATTTACATTATTTTTTCTTCATCAACAAACACTGGTGGCTATAAATAACAAAAGGACTTGAGAATCATGCTCAAAGATGATATCCAAGCAGCCACTGGAGCAGAGGCACTGAGCCTAAAACACTAAGAAAATGGAACAGAGGAAAGATGGAAAAAGAAAATCTATATCTACCACACTTTATATATAGAAATAAGACTTTACAACATGAAATATCACTGCTATTTTATAAAAAGGTCAAATTACCTGATATTTATTTAATAACTATATTTAACTATATTTAGAATTTATCTAGATAAAAGACATGTGTCACGCCATTGACCTATGTAGTGCAAATACATTCATATGTTAACAACTATGGCTTAAAGGGATAGTTCACCCAAAAATGAAAATTTGATGTTTATCTGCTTACCCCCAGGGCATCCAAGATGTAGGTGACTTTGTTTCTTCAGTAGAACACAAACAAAAATGTTTAACTCAAACCGTTGCAGTCTGTCAGTCATATAATGGAAGTGAACGGGAATCACGGCTTTGAGAGTCAAAAAAACATACACAAACAAAACCAAATTAAACCCTGCAGCACAAACGAAGATTTTTAACACAAACTGTTGCAGTCTGTCAGTCTTATAATGGAAGTGAATGGGCTCCACAGCTTTGAGAGTCAAAAAAACATACACAGACAAAACCAAATTAAACCCTGCGGCTCGTGATGATACATAAATGCACTAAGTCTTAAGACACGAAAGGCTTGTGTCTTAAGACACGAAACGATCAGTCTGTGCAATGATTGGATGTTGTGAACGCGCTCAGGACAGTTGGACATTGCTGTGGATCAGAGGTAAAAAACTATATAAATACTGTTCAGTTTCTTGCACAGACCAATCGTTTCGTGTCTTAAGACCTCAATGTATCGTCATGAGCCACAGGGTTTAATTTGTTTTGTCTGTGTATGTTTTTTTTTTACTCTCAAAGCCGTGGAGCCCATTGACTGCCATTATAGGACTGACAGACTGCAACATTGATAATACTGAGAAACGTTTCTTGAGCAGCAAATCAGCATAGAATGATTTCTGAAGGATCATGTGACACTGAAGACTGGAGTAATGGTGCTGAAAATTCAGCTTTGCATCAAGGAATAAATTATATTTTAAAATATATTCAAATTGAAAACAGCTATTTTAAATCACAGTAATATTTCACAATATTCGTTTTTTTCTGTATTTTTGATCGTAAATGCAGTCTTGGTGGGCGTACAGCAAGAGACATTTCAAAACACACAAAAAAAGTTAATAAATAAAAATGTAAAAAATCTTACCGACCATTTTTAATGGTAATGTATAAATGAGGAAAAAACAATATCAGCAAACAAAACAGGAAAAAAAAACGTATAGGGCGAAAGAAAATGCTAATAAAAACAAAACAGCATTACAGAGTAAAGGAGAACGGAAAAGATCAAGTGTATGAGCTGATGAGCTGAAGATCCCTCCAGGGGCCCTCAGTCACCACCAAAAGCATGAGCGCAAATGTGAAGGGACACGGTGCCAATCCCGCTTGCTTGGTTCCAGCTAAATTTGTTTTGAATGAACCCTGGCCTGCTGGCGGCGCTGTGGTTTTGCCTCAAAGCCGTTTACACCCTGTGCACTTTGAGGCCAGGATGGGCACAGACTTGCATTGATGGCAAAATTTCAGTTTATTCAAACACATGTCAGGCATTTTCTTAAAACACCAAAGCGTTTCAACACCAGCTTATTTTTGAAAACCCAAAATAACGGACCACTTTTGTGTTGCAATTCTTGCAAATCTGAAATGAAGCAATGCAAAGTAAAACTACATGGTCTAATAGTCTCATTTTCCCTGACACTATTCACACTCAAGACTGCGGTCACCATAGACAGACTCTCTGGAGAAGTGTCGACTGCTCCCTCTGTTGGTCACTGTTGTGTCTTTTCTCACCATGCAATTTATTCTAACTGATCCATTTCTGTGACCTTACGGTATGCTTCATATGCTTACTCTGATCGCTGTGGTCTGGTTATATTGCATGTTTATTTTTAATCAAGATTTTCAACCGGGGTCTGTGAAACGCATTCCAGTGCATCCAATGAGTAGAAGCATTTTTTAAAATGTATTATTATTATTTATTTATTTTTAAGAAATGAATGTTTATAACTTGATCAAAAGAAAAGTAAAGAAAATTTTAAAGTAGATTTTTATTTCAAATAAATGATGTTTCTTTTGAACTTTTTATTCATCAAAGAATCCTGAAAAAAACTGATCATGGCTTCCACAAAAATATTAAGAAGCAAGAATGTTTTCAACATTGATACTAAAAGTTTCCTGAGCAGCAAATCAGCATATCAGAATGATTTATGAAAGATCATGTGACACTGAAGACTGGAGTAATGATGCTGAAAATTCAGCTTTGCATCACAGAAATAAATTACATTTGAAAATATATTCAAAGTGAAAACACTTATTTTTTTTAATTGTAATATTTTTGTAAAATATTTTAAAAATCTCACCAACTTACTGTAAATAAAACTGAATTTTCTTTCATTTTCTTTCTTTCTTTGGACTGCTGTTCTTCAGAAAAATCCTTCAGGTCCCACAAATTCTTTTTGGTTTCCAGCATCTTTTGCATATTTGAACCCTTTCCAACAATGAATGTATGATTTTGAGATCCATCTTTTCACACTGAGGACAATTGAGGGACTCATACACAACTATTACAAAAGGTGAAAACATTCATTAAGAGCTGGGGTGTGTAAACTTTGAAAAACAATGCATTAAGAGCCAGGGGTGTAAACTTTTGAACAGAAGATGTGTACATTTTTCTTATTTTGCCTAAATCTTTTTTTTATTTAGTACTGCCCTTCGGAAGATACTTACATGTTTCCCAGAAAAATAAGTTTAATTTACCCTGATATTCAAATTCAAGAACTTTTCAATGCTAGGGGTACTCCAGAGGGCAATGGCGGACAATCTTTACCATTATATTTTATAGGATATATATTACAGAATTGAAACAGCTGCCATTTTTGTTAACATTTTACACTTGAACAAAGCTTTGGCCAAATAAAATCAGCCAAAAAAAACCCCATTTAAATCTTAATTAATTAATAATACGGCTATAAACTTGTGTCAAAAAAATTGGATAGCAGAGAAGCAACTGATTCTCTGGTGCAGAAAAAGCCGCACACATTTTCGCAAATCCTAAATACAGTGATTTGAAGTGAGCAGTAGGTGTGTTAGTAAAAGTAGAATGTATTAACACACTCCTGAGTATGATTACACCCCTGTGGCACTCACAGAGGGAAGATGCTCAGTAGCTCCTCCCGGTGAGGGATGTGAGGTACTGCGGGGTCTGTGCTGTGAAGCAGACGCAGGAAAACGGTGCCGGCGTGGGCTCGGTAGCGGTCGATCTTCTCTGCAGCCTGCTGGGCCAGGCAACACATCATACGCTGAACACTACAGAAAATAAGAGAAATAACTGTGAGCAGTCTTAAATGGTGCATTAAATCTACTGCAACTAAAGTTTAAAAGGATAGTTCACCCAAAAATGTAAATTGTGTCCCCATTTACTCACCCTCAAGTTGTTCCAAACCTGTATGAATTTCTTTCAGCTGCTGAACACTAAAGAAGATATTTTGAAGAACGTGGGTAACCAAACAGATGACGGTAGCCAATGACTTCCATAGTATGAAAAAAAAAATACTATGGAAGTCGATGAGGATCGGAAACTGTTTGGTTACCCACATCCTTCAAAATATCTTCTTTTGTGTTAAAAAAAAGACAGAAACTCATATAGGTTTAAAACAACTTATGGTGAGTAAATGAGGACATCATTTTCATTTTTGGGTAAACTCTCACTTTAAGTGAGACTGACAGTGTCTTACAGGTCAGAGGAGAGGAGCTCTGGAGCAGACGCTACCACCAGCAGGGTCACATCCATAAGGCTGCTCATTGCTGCCGCCCTCACCCTGAAACAGAACGAGAGCAAAGAGTCAGAGCTACACCGTGACTGTCAAACTGCTTTCAGAGAACCACAAGCACACAAAATATTTCAAATATTAAAATATTTGATTATGCTTTGTTTCTCATGAAGGCATTATGTTGATTGTTGACATTTCCAGCATCATGCTGAAGGTTTGTTGTGCCTGGAGGCACCTGTGGGGAATGTGAGGAATGTGTCACTCGTGGGGCACTAACATTTAAAATCAGCCAAATTTAAAAAGGTAAATTAATTAAATGAATATATTAGGGCTTTCAATAACTTGATACATTAAATGACAAATAATTAGTCAAATAATTCGATACATTAAATACTTAAATAAAACATTAATTCAACTAACTTTGCCTATTTTTTTTTTTATTTATTGCCTAAATTGTTTTGAATTGTTTTATCATTAATCACATTCAATGGCTACTTTAAACAGATTCAACTTATCATTACATAATTAGGACACAGAGAAAAACTCACACAAGAACCAAGAGTTGTTTTATGGAACCCATTCAATTATTACTATACAATACTAATAAAAATAAGGTTAGGCCTAAAATTATTAAGGCCTAAAATGAAACAAACTAATAAAAAATGCATTACTATAGTAATACTATGGTACTGTAATATAAAAAGTAGTAGTAGCACTGCTTTTAATAATAATAACAACAGTTACTATTATCATTATAAAAATATTTTTAATATTACATTATAAAAAGTAAAAAAACAGACAGTAACACTATTGTATTGTAAAATAGCATTTAATTAATAATAATAATAATTATTATCATCATCATCAAAATGTTTATTTCATTAATCTGAATCAATCTGCAATCTGTTTTGTATGAAGCGCTATATAAATAAAGGTGACTTGACACTGGTGCATATTGTTGTATATTGTGCAACACAACTATGCACCCCTAAGAAAGCATGTGAACGTACCAGGCCCCGACGTCCCCTCTGCTGTCCGTGCTGTAGTCGTTCATACAGCCCAGCAAGGCTTCATACACAGGCCTTATGTTGCCCTCACACAGGACACGGTCTGGGCTGCCTTGTGCACACACTCCTACAGCTACACACACCCTGAGAAGCACAAGAAAGCACAGGACACATGGACATGCAATGCAAGATGGGACAAAGCAGTGAATGGAGACATGAATTTCAGGTCCTGCAGGAAGGAGCAGGCGTTGGCAGACTGGTTCTTCAAGCGCAAAGGAGACATAAGAAGGTGTTACTCACTGAGACATGGCTGTGGCCGCATCCCTCCTGGCTTCTGTTAGACTCGCTGCTTTCTGCACAACCTTACAGGTGGCCTGGAGCCCAGGCAAGATCTAGGGAACAAGTTTGAGAACGCAAACTCAACCTAACAGTTCAGACACAGACTTGAGCAGACGAGACATTATGAGGTCGAACCTTCTGGAGTTTGCCACGGATCATAAACGGAGGCAGTGAGCCCAGGGCGAGAGTGCAGCCACAGCGCATCAGAACCTCGGGACTCTCCAGGGCCAACAGGTACTGACTAACCAGCTGATCTGTATGGCAACAAATGGATGTAAACAAACAATTAATGGCCAAAAGTATGTGTACACCCAAAAACACACCCATAAGTGCTTGATCAGCGTTCCCTGTACCTTGCATTTCCACATCGGCTACCCCTGGTTCAACCTGATAATACTGCAGACACAACGCTGCTAGTGCTGAGAGTGCGGCATCCTTCAGAAAACACACATTATATTTTCATAACAACCATAGATGGTACAGTTGTAAAAAGCCATTCTGGGTGCTGAGGCGTGGACTGTACCTGTATACCCCGCCTGGCCCCGCTGGAGAACAGGTGAAGGTTCTTCAAGCTGTCGTCTATTAGCCATTGCCAACCAGCTGCACGCATCACAAATCCGTCAAACAATCACTCCTCCATGAGATATTTGTGGTACTAGTAGTAGTCATTTATTTTCATGCAAATGTATCATGCAATATCATAAATCATGCAAATGTAAAGAGGTTTGGTTGACTCACTGATAACTGGGTCATCTTTAAAAGGCATCTTGGAGAGAGAGAGCTTTTCAATGAGGCAACAGACTGAAAAAAAAGACAAGGGAAAACCAGATCAGGGTGTAAAAAAAGCAATAACTGGGCCTCTGTTTTGTTGCTTTGTACCGTGAATGATTCAGAGACATCTGTAATGTCATATTTTTTTCTGAATACTAATCCACTGATTCTTAAGACATGGGACAAAACAGGTCTCTAAACTTTATATCATTAGTTTTTAAAATGGCAACATTTCCACTTTGAATCCAAATGAATTTTTCCTAAGGTGTTGCTATGCAGTTCTGTGGCAGATTTGTGAAACATTGAATAAAATTCTTCTTAACTGCTATTTTCATCGTATTTTTTAAACTTTACAATAAAGCTAAGAATGTTTTGTATTCCCAAGAAGAATCTTCCTATCTTAAGATTGTTCTAAAGAAAAAACTTAAGAACTTTAATTCCTAAAAAATGTTCTTAAAAATCATCTGAAATAACCTATTACAGTTAGTATAACCTCCAACTTTCTTAAATCCCCAAAGGTAAGACGCTTAATGAACTTATCGGGTTGTTTCAAATATTAAACATTATAAGTATTTATATAATCTGTGGAAGGCATATGACCATAAAAATGTTCGACCAATCAGATTATTCGGTACGAACATTACGATAGGCTGTCCTACCTGCCTGTCAACGTATGTATTTGCATACCTTACATCATCAGCGCGTTCCATTACTCTATTACAGACCGAGCAAGAATGAAAGGCGTTATTATTGTAATATTATGTGCTTTGTACTGTAATATTTTCTCAAAGGTGAATTAGATATGAGGTAATCTGACCGCATTGTATTCAACAGTCTCTCATCATGTCGCTGGTTAGCCTCTGCTCTATCTGTGTGCGTTCATGTGTTTTGGAGGAGGCGTGGCTTTGGAGAGTGATTTGCAGAGAGTGTGGGATCTTATTCTTTCAAAACTAGCTTGCTATTTGCTAGACTCTCCGAAATCACCTACCATACCTTTAACAGATATGATTGAGAAAGCTACACAAATCCGTCAGTAATTCTTCAGAATTTCTCAAGAATTATATTTGGAAGATTCTTACGAACTTCTTAGAATTTATCTTATGAAAATTTTTTAACTTCTTTCTTAGGAGGATCTTCGAAAAACTGAGCCCTGAGTGGTTTTAGCATGTTGCTGCAGCATATGGCTTAGGTCCTTCACTGTAAGTGATTTTCTGCACCTTTTTTTATGGTCTGCCAGGCCAAAATTTTAATTGAAGTGGAATACACCTCTCCTCATCAAGCCGCACAATTTGAGGTTTTATTTATGTCTATAGCAGAAAGCTACATTTTGAAGTTTGTTGAAATCTCTTACCATAGAATGAGTTCTAACAGTAACGAGGCTTGCCTTGTCACACACACACACACACACACACACACACACACACACACACACACACCTTAAATAGTAGTTTATCATTTCAACACAAGAAGCATATCAATTCTATAGAATAACTGTAAATGATTCTTACCAGCTGGTCTCATTAGCTCCCCACCAAATCCCCTAGGGTTAAAAAAAAAAAAAACATCAGTTACAAGCTATAGACAAATAAGTGCCTCTAAAAAGCTTTGATGTCAATTACTGCCAGGTTATGAAGCCAGTGCTTACCTGTACTGCTTTCTGTCAGAGAGCTGAAATAAAGGTACATATGGAAGGATCAGTTGCAATAAACTGTTTTTATTTTATATTTCACAAAAAAAACAAAAAAAAAAAAACACAAGAGACTAATTCTGCAGACCTTTTGATGAATGTTTTTAAGGCCTTCAATTGTGTCAGAGGACAGGAAGTCAGTCACCCAACTACAAGGAAACAAATGCATTAAATAAAAGAAAATTATGGTTAGGCGAAGCTTCAATAGAAAGCGGGTGTAACCTATTATTCTGGGTGGCAAGCTCGTAGAGAGCATGAGTGATCTCGGCGCAGGCAAGGATAGCGCCGTGACGCCTGTGTAAATCCATCCCTGTGGCCATGGGCAGCAGCTGAGGTAAAACTGAAATCATAAATAAAGACAAGATGCTACAAAATTTCACTTGGCCTTTATGTGTAGAGGTGAAAGATGTGCTGATGAGTTGAATTTGGCATATATTAACAGACATATGGAGCTGTTCTCACCAGTGTTGGCCATGTATTCAGGGGCCTGGATAGTTAGATTGTGCAGGCCTTTCGTGGCCAGCTCTCTGATCACCCTGATAAAAAGCAAATACAGCCTCAGTTAAAAATACAAAACCAAAGAATCCACATGAAACCGTACACATACTTACCCATCCCAGTGATTGACTTTCATAGCCACCAAGTGGTCAATTAAGGGTTTGGTGTATTCCTCAAAACCAGCGATGTAGACACTGAAAAATTAAATTAAGTCGTAAATTAAGTCTCACACAGCCATTTTCCACCATCTCTGTTAGAATTCAAGAGGCTGATTTTTTTTTTTGGTTTGCTTCTGAACCTGGCACGTTTTTTTTCCCTTAGTTTTGTTTGTTTAGGCATATATGAACATGCCAGACATGCTCAGATCTACACCAAAAAATAATCAGTCCAAGATCGCCTGAATGAGTTGGTCTCAGCCTGATTGAAAACAAACCTGAAAATGTCTTAAAGATGAATTTGTTTCTTACAGACAGAGCTTTTTGCTTCACAAGACATTAATTGATTGCCTGGAGTGTAGACACTGAAAAATTAAATTAAGTCATAAATTAAGTCTCACACAGCCATTTTCCACCATCTCTGTTAGAATTCAAGAGGCTGATTTTTTTGTGTTTTTTGGTTTACTTCTGAACCTGGCACGTTTTTTTCCCTTAGTTTTGTTTGTTTAGGCATATATGAACATGCCAGACATGCTCAGATCTACACCAAAAAATAATCAGTCCAAGATCGCCTGAATGAGTTGGTCTCAGCCTGATTGAAAACAAACCTGAAAATGTCTTAAAGATGAATTTGTTTCTTACAGACAGAGCTTTTTGCTTCACAAGACATTAATTGATTGCCTGGAGTGGTGTGGATTACTTATGGTTTTTTGTGATGTTTTTATCAGCTGTTTGGACTCTCATTCTGACGGCACCCATTCACTGCATTAATTGGTGATCAAGTGATGTAATGCTAAATTTCTCCAAATCTGTTTCGATGATGAAACAAACTCCTGAGGGTGAGTAATTTTCAAGAAATTTTCATTGTTGGGTGGACCAATTCTTTAACAAGCTAAAGCAACATCTTCTTGCTTTTACACAGCGGGCTGCGCAGTAAGCCTTGAGCATGGCTCTTTGCTCCCTAAGGCTAGCATTTTTCACATTGCTCTTTTAATACATTAATGTGCCACAATCAAATGGTGACATTTTTCTGGAGGGTGGGACTTAAGAAAATGACAAGAACGACATAACAGTGTAACCGCTCCTTCACTCATCGATGCATTCAAAACATAGCGTGACTGTGCTTTGAACTGAAGTGTTCTGAGGAATGGGGTGTATGACTGATCTGCCTGCTGCTGTAATGTTTGCAGCGTGTACTATGAAGAACAATGGGGTTCAATTAAATGTGCCAAAACAGTTCTTAGTCACACACTGTCACCTTCTTACTCCTTACCTGATAGTTAAGTAGCAGTTATTCAGGTTACCGACTGTGAAGTAGTCCGCCGCTGTCAGAATGTCTATGCCATGGGGGAAGGTGCCCTGTGGAGACAGGATATCTCCGAGGATCAGATTAGAGATACACACACTCAGCAGGCTTCACAGAACACAGCCTGTTGCACTACAGATCAGTGAAGGTGTTTATTATGGATCTGAATGGTGTTTATGTAAGTGTATGCCCTTTTGTTGTACCTGTCTGCCCACATTCTCTTGGAAAGCAGCCTAGAAACAGAGAAAAGGAAGCAAACATTACTTTTCCTGTAATTTCTCATGTATGCAGCTACATTATGTGAAATTAAAGCTGAAGAATGTCATTTTTTTCTGTTAAAATACTCTCTCCTATCCAGAGGTTGCACTGCACAAACATCAACCAAATTTGAAAGATATTACTTCCAAAAGCTAATGATTTTCCTTACTTTAGAATCACTTCCACAGTAAAGAAAGTAAATGCGTATTGGAATAGAAAAAAGGGCAAAAACAATGTTTTCAAGTGCTTAGACCTAAGTAAGCATTGAGGAGAAAAACAAGAGTTTCCAAGTGTATTCAAATAAAATAATTAACCAAATAAAAAGAAGGTAGGGGCTATGTGCACTAAGAGCAAATAGCGATAGATGCTATTTACACTAAGTGAAAGAAGCATTATTTTCTTTGCATTAAGTATAAATAGTAGTTAGCTGTTATTTGCACTAATAAAAACACATTAAGTGTATATATCCATTAAAGTATTAAATATAAGGTTAATTAAATTATTAAAATCATAAATGAATACTGTCTTTTTGGGAACCAAACACCATTTTGAATCTGCCGATCAGTAAAGTTACGTCACTTCCTTCCTGGACCTTGAAGGACAACTTTCCACTCTTTTACAGTAATAGAGTGGTAACAATATAAAATGTGTGTGTCACTGTCGTCGATGTGTCAGTCCATCCAATCAATGTGAGCGAAGCATGGGCAGAGTTACTGCCTACAAGACGGGTTATTTGCACTTAGTGTCAATAGACACTCCAACAAGAAAAAATGCTTCAAAATGCTTCTTGTGATATCAATATCACATTAAAAAGAACATTTAAATATTCTACAGATTAATAAAATCAGAGCATGTCAGAACATGTACAACCCAGTCTATTGAAATGACAGAAAATAAATATTTGTAGCACAACCTCCAGTCCTCTGCTCCTAGACCACTACAAAGAAAAGCAAATTTTGCTGCCATCAATGGTGCGTTTGAATCACATTTTTATCCGGCACCCATGAGTGCTCACATCAGAACGGGACGCAGCTCACACTTCCAATGTGAACACTCTTATTTGCTGTGCACTTGCGGTGTGAAACTGGTGTAACACTGACTCAAACGATGCAGGCAGTTTAGGGTTGGACTACCAAGGAAGGAGCATTTGTACTGACAGTTTGTAACCAATTCACACATTTTTACACACTTCAGCTTTAAAGAGTTTTTTAAAATGTTTTTCAGGATTAACTTACAGAGGCGGCCTTCCTGCAGGTGATGTTCCTGTCAAATACAGTTGCGATGACCAGTGCGCTGTGAAGGTACATGCAAATGAGAATAAGTGATATTTTGGCATATATAAAGTGTTCACCTGTATACCAAGTATCAAAATACCCCGAAAGTGTATTTTTGCAAACATTTAAAAATACATTCCAGCCAAGTATGATTTTTTTTCCAGAGAAATTATAAAAAAAAATAAAATAAATTAAAAAAATTAAAAAAAACTTTGTGGGTGATTTGTTGTAGTTTTGCAGAAAGCATTGTTTTTAATGCTAAATATTATTTCTTATTTCTTCCGTTTCTTTATTTATAAAGTATTTAGTCTCTCTCTGTGTGTGTGTGTGTGTGTGTATATATATATATATATATATATATATATATATAATTAAT